AGAAAAGCAATCAAAGTCATTCTTGTTGTTGCAGGCTCACAAGAATCTGAATAAATCAGAAAGGAAGAGAGTTTGCAGAGTGTTGGACTGCAAGAAACTTTCGATGGAAGCGTGTATGCATGCGGCGCAGAACGAGATGCTTCCCTTGAGAGTAGTGGTTCAAGTACTCTTCTACGAGCAGGCAAGAGCCGCTGCGGCTACCACTGAAGGCAAAATTACCGAACTTCCAAGTAACATCAAAGCACTTCTTGCCTCACACAACATTGACCCTTCTAATCCAAATGCAGCCGCTTTCAGCACGACCACAAGCATCGCAGCACCGGAAGATCAATGGAGCGTCTCGGGTCTCAAATCCCCGAAATCAAAGCTCTCAGGGACACTGAGAAGCAAACTAGCTGAAGATGAAGACGTAGACGAGAGGTTTATGAACCAAGACGGAGGAGGAAGATCAACTCCGTCTCGGTTTAAGGCTTTTTGTGCAATCCCTGGTCGTCCCAAGAAGATGTTCAGCAAGTTGTTGTCCATCAACAGAAACTCCAGCGACAAAAACTGAAAGAAAACAAAACAAAAGTGTTATTTTAGATCTTTAGAGTAAAAGAAAGAAAATGTTTAAACCTTTCCCTCCTCTCTCTCTCGATGTAACTTCTTCACCAATGTTCATTTTATCTCCAAGATGATGATAATAATATTGTTAAGAACATATTTTCGGCTGAAGAAGGTCAAAGAAAATGACCCAAACTTTCGAGAGTTGTTTGAAATAGAGCATCCTTAGGATTTTCTTGTTTGTTTGAATATTCTAACTTTGAAAGTCAAATCTTCTTCTTTGTCTTTCAAAAGTCTGTTAGTATATATCCCATTTAATTCCTTGCTATGATTAGTCGTATTCATTTACTGATTCGATACACGGAAAAAGATCATGTTCATTAGGGAAGAGTTTTTAACAAATATTATGTTATAAGTATTTACAAAATATGTTTATAGTTTGATCTTATTTAGACAAGAATATCTTAACGACCTTGGATTTGATTGATATGCATTTAAGTTTACATATCCTGATTCCTTTCTATAATAATGTCAACCACGATACCTATCACATGGTCTCTACTCTCTCATAGGAGTTGGCGTTCGGTTATTCGGTTTTGGTGTTATTGGTTTATATAAAATTGATCTCATTTGGTTTTAAAATTTAATTTGGTTTGGTTCGGTTCACGTTTTTCAATTTTCGGTTCTTTTTTGGTTTTTAGAAAATAGATCCCATTTGGAATCAAATTAACTAATTTTAATTAGTATTGTAAATGTTTAGTTAATTTTAATATATTGTAATTCTATTCGGGAATGTGCAATAAATGGTAATTTAGTTTAAAAATATATAACTTTTTTGAAAAATACCATTTTTGAGATGACTTTTTTCAAAAATGCCATCATTTTTAATTTTTTCAAAAATGTCACTAATAATATATCATTTACTCAAAATATCATTTATGTTTGGGTTAACTATGTTATGTTAGGGTTTAGTTTTTGAGGTTTAAGGTTTGTTAGGGTCAAAAACCTTTTTTAAAGTTTAGAATTTTAGGGTTTAAAACTTAAAAAATCTTTAATTGT